GCTGGATGAGGCCGAAGCTTCACATGCAAGTAGTGTGCACATGCAAACAAACACACACTGTGCAGAGATTCTGAGCCAGAGCACCCAGGTGAAGTAGAAGCAGTTGTACAGTCAAACTCCATTTGGAGAATGGGCTCAGAAGGCAGCTCTCCTGAAAGCTTTTACAACACAAGCAAATATATATCAACCATACACTAGTGAACACTTGACTAATAACCACGGTAAATTAAAATGATCTACCATGATATACCATCTGTTTCATAGCAGGCTTTATCTGTCTTCAGTCATGGCCATTTGGATCAGGTGTAAACATTTTTGTCTTTATACAGACAAGAAACTGATGCTAACGATGCTCAATACCCTCCAGTTAATCCAAAATGCTGCAGCCAGAGTACTGACAGGAACTAGCAAGAGAGATCATATCTCTCCCATATTAGCTTCTCTCCACTGGCTGCCTGTAAAATCCAGAATAGAATTTAAAATCCTTCTCCTAACATACACTGTTTGATTGTTGCTTTTCTTTTCTTTTCTCTATCGACTCACCCTGACAAGGCAGAAGGCCACCCACCAATAATAATAATAAGGTATAGGTATTGAGATGACTTGTTGTAATTTGACGCTATACAAACGAAACTGAACTGAAGTGAATTAACGATACTAAAGGTAACATGTTTAATGGCAAACCAAAGGATTTTAAGTGCATCATCTTTTAATGTACGTTTTTGTAGAATTTGTATCTAGATGTGTCAGGTAATTGTAAATCAGTTCATTTTAATCTTCCTGTGTGTTTATAACACTCACTTTCTGAAGTAGCTGAGCAGTGTTACTCCCCCTTTGCTGAATTCACATATTTTTAAGCTGAAAATCTCTGACTCAAAATACCCCAGATACTCAAAACTCGTGATTTAACATGCAGATAATATGCAGACAGATCCAGAATAAAGGAAGATGCAGCACTGTGTAAGCCTGTTACATCAGTACAATTTCCCCTTATCATCCTCCCTTATTAAACAGCACCAGGAGGCCATATTCATCCCTCAGAAAGAGAGGGTTGTGTAAGAGATGGTACAAAAGACACACTTCAAAGACAGAACAAAATAGCTCCCTCTGCTCCTTTTGTTACTGTGATGCAAGCTTGTCGGTCAGTACACACACCTACAAAAGACACACACAATCAGACACGTATGCAAGCACTTATTTTAAATGTAGTGTTCTGACTTGATTTGACAAAGAACTTGTATTCATATATATCCAGCACAAAAACAAGAAAATCCCAATTCAAGAAAAAGAGCCAAAGAGAAACATATATTTACAGAAACGTTTTAACCAGATCAAACTATCAAATGAGAAGCACAAGCAAAACCAGGTTCCCATGGGGAAAAGCTCTGTGAAATGTCGACTGTGTTTGGACATTTTAAAATCAACCTGAGCATGTTCAATGTCCTGCTGTGTGTTTTCCATCAGGCTACATTTTAACATGTGCATTTTAAAACAGGAAAAATCTCAAATCTCCAGCGGTCGCCCAGCCCAGACCAGAGACCTGATGGATCCATTTTATCTCCCCACCCTGCAGGACATGAGGTTAATTCCATGAATTATTGATCATTCTCCAGACATCATTCTCTCCTTTTGTGTGTCACTCACAGAAAAATGAAAATCAAACAGATGACATCCGTGAAAAGGTTTGATTTGTGTATGTGTGAAGTGTGTGTGTGCACGTGTTGTCTATATTTGACTGATTTACTGCCTGGCCTGAATGCTCAAGCCAACACATTGAGCCAACAACTGAGGACTGCTAGTTATTAGCTCCAAAACAATCTCTGACTTTATGGAAGATTTAAAATGATCAAATTACAATTTAAAGCATAAGACGACCTAAGATGGTGCCCTGTGGGACGCCACAAGAGACGCCGACTACGGCAGATAAGAAGTTAAGTGATTTAACTGAAAAGGTTCTCACTCCAACATGAAACATAAACCAGTTCAGGGCTGCGATTAATGATGTAATGAAGGTGCATACTCAGTGAATCATGAGCCGCTGTGTTAAAGGACAAAAATAGGTGAAGGAACCTCTGAGGCCAGACCAAGCTCACCTATTTATTGAGGGCTGGACAAAGATGATGTTGTCCAGGTCATGTCCTTGCCTCATCATAAAGTGGACTCTCAGCTTCTTACTACTCAAACGACCTTACTGACATCACACCACTGCTTGGTATAAAGGAACCATAACCCCTGGGCGGCCACTATAATGTCTGACATGATCGGTGTGTCAGACGTGGCCTTAACATAATGGCCCTTCACAGAGTAAAACAACCTCACACACACACTCTGACCTGCTGACATTCCCACACACATATACATGCACTGACCCACAGGCAGTGACTTCAGTCATTTTCCTCAGTAATCCTCCACAAACACAGACTTAAACCAAACGAAATGTCTGTACAAGGCAGGACTGGTTTTATATTGGTTTGTTGATTTTATTGACTTTGGACATTTTTAGGTAGAAATGTCAATTAAGGCTGATTCCATTAACATATATATGCATCTTGTATTCTTAATAAAAATATGTACACTCTATGTTTAGTGACTTTTATATGTCGCAATTTTAGGTACAACCAAGACTGTGCAAAAAGTTCTCCTCACCTTTGACATGAATAAGAAGGGGTGGAAAAATCCATGTAAGGGTTAAGGTTAACTTCACGTTGACGTTGGAAGTTGACCAGTCTCTTAACCAGCAGCAGCTGATGTTGAGCCTCTCTGACCTTAAGCTGGGGTAACATAATGTTTCCTTGCTTCCTTACTGCTTATGCTCAGTCCATGGAGTGGGGTAGGGGGTAGAGTGTGGATATCCGAACTGAGCACTTTCAGGTTAGGTGTTAGGATCTGGGCCAGGTTCTGACAGAAATTTAGAAATTATGTTCAGATCCAGGGCTGGTTCGAACACGTAGGGACGGAGAGGGAGCACTCGAATGTCTGCTTCATATAATGATAAGGGGAAACACACCATTACCGCGTCAAGTTCAGTCAGGTCCAGAAATTATATACTATAAGCTTGTTGGGTCTGGGTTGGGTTTGGATGCCACACTCTCAAGCATGGGCCAGGTTCAGACAGAAATATGTGGCCAGATCCATGCTGTAGTAAGACACTAGAGTCAGGTTCAGGTTGATCAGTTCTAAACTCATTCCATCGGAAATCATGTCTTTGCTACAGCTGCTTCACAGTTGCACAATATCAAAACTCCAATAAGCTACTACTTTGCCTTTCCAACTGTAAATACAGCCTCTCTGGAGTAGAACTCTCATCACATATGGTTTTATTCAGTGCTGATGTCCATTTACCCAACATCTCATACTTGACAGTGTTTCTCCTGCTTCCCAGAACCTTATTATGTATAAAAGGAAGTCCTTTCTCAATGCTCTGGGAGAACTGGTGCTGAGGTCTGAGATTTTTTTTTTACAGTCCACATACACTAAACCAGACCTTCCATGTTCACATTCATGTCCTTGCACTCGGCTGTGACAGGGATGCCAAAAGAAAAACATCACAAAACCGCTGGGTTTTGTTACCATAAACTCTGTACATCCAAACTGAGGACAGAGGACAAAGTTAAAGCTGTTTCATGCGTCACAGCAAGCTTATCACAGCGGTCGGGACTAAAAGTGTGTATTTCATAAACCAAATGTCTGTTTTTCGCTGCAGTGTGTGTGTGTGTGTGTGTGTGTGCCCAGTGCGAGAGGTGTGTGGTGATACACTGAGCAGAAGGATCTGAAAGTCATCTGTGTCCATAAGTAGACAGAGAGCTGATAAGCTTTGGTGTGACTGAGTCACAAAACAACCCAAACCAAGCAAAATCATATCGCACAAGACCGTGCATTAATATACAGCAACAAGAGAATACAAAGAGAAAGAAGAGGAGTGCATGCATATGGTGTGCACGGATGGATCAGGGAGAAAGTCTGTGTGCATGTTTCTTATCCTACCTGGTGCAGTCTGCATCTCCATCAGACCTCCTGCTGCAACCAGAGCCTCCAAGATCCTGATGTGATGCTCCTGGTTCATGTCAGCACTGTTGACAATCACACAGCCAAGAACACAAACTGGGATCAGATGTCAACATGTCATGACTTTTTCATATTCCATTAAAATGTGGGGTTGGACCTAAACAGCGGGATGACAACAGGATGTACAGGATGAGGGACGAGTGTAAATTTGCTACAGTGATCGTGTTTGTTGTAACTGAGGTTTTCTTAACAGAGGAGCTCTGTGGCAAAGGAGAAGAAGACATCAGGTTTTGGAAAGACAGACAACATGTTTCAGCAGGGTCAGTTCACAGTTATTGATGTTATGATCAGGGCCTTTTCACAAGACTTGTTGACAATAAAAATACTGCCCATCCCCAGGCCTTGTAGTTATTATTCACTTTAGAAACCAGCTCGCTGCAGTACCGTATGTAGCAAAGGACAGAATATGTGTGACTGTCTAACTGCTTACAGACTGTGGTGTATAGCCCAGAACCATCGAGGATTAGTCGACATTTCCACACACGCACAGACTAAGCTGACATGGGATCCGGTTCAAACAGCATGGCATGCTACGATCCACTGCTCTGCTCTCTCTCCACCCACTGTGCACGTTAGGGGTGAATGCACCAGGCTATGCAAACAATCACTGCTTCTGTTTCACTGACTGAGAAGTTCCTCTGTAATTTCTGGAAAAACAGATGCGGGCGAATTTGTGCTGGGTACAGAGAAGCAAAACGACACCGCCAGCCTTGTTAATATCAGTGATCAGCTCTTAAAATACAGGATGTTGTTATTATCGCTGAGCCAAAAGTCATACTCAAATTTCCTGTTAGTAAGGGCTGATCCTTTACTAAAACAATATTAGGTATTTGTGCTGGATCAAGACAATTTCACTCAGTTCTGGTCTGAACTTGGAAAAGAGCAGTGGCTGATCTGTGTATGGAGTTTCAAACTGCCCTACATTCATCCAGAAGGTCTGTTTCCCTCTTTGGCCGGCTGATTCACAAATGTTGAATGAAGTGGGAAAACCCTTTCCACCCAAACGATGTAAGAGAACTGACTGTGGTTGGAATAATCAATGATTTTACGCAACACATGGAAATAGAAAAGAAATGTTGAAATGCTAAAGAGCAAACATTACATTTCACAGCTGTGCAGGATGTACGTCATCATATGTGAGGTTCATGTTTTGATCTGGCCTCAGATTTTACATAATCTTTAGGGACTATGAAATACATACAAAACACAATGTGCAACAAGTTTACCCACTAATTTAATTTGCTTTGTCAAAAATGCATTTCTGCTGTATTTGTGCCACGCTCCACCTCGGTACAGCTCACCTCTTAACAATCTCTAATCACCATGTATAGAGGAGCAATATGTTGTAGACTATTATTTGGCATCCAGGGTTGTGGATGTCATAGTCTCGTTTTATACATGCTAACTCCTTAGATGAACGGCCCTGTTGGAAACTACCGGACTCTCTGATTAAATGAAAAAAGTCACAGCTTAAGAAGAGAAACCAAACACAACTTCCTGCCAGTGTTACAGTGAGAAACATCCAACTACAGAGAATGAAACGTTTTGTGCTCCACTATGGTGATCAGATTTAAACATACGGCTTCGGCTCTCTGTCAGTTTCTGGGTCAGTTCTGTCTTAGGCGTTACTGTGTGCCGTTTAATTTCACATTTGAATGATGAAGGGTTTTGATTTAGGATCAGGTTACTCTCCTTAGCAACAGGTCCTTAGTATCACAGTATTCAGAGCTATATGAATACATCTTTATATTATGCAGGAGAGTCCTCTGCTTCTACACTGAGAAACACTGAGGATTCTCCTGAAAAGAGCACCTTGGAATGGGAATTTACAGAAGAGAAGGGGGTTCAGAAGAGGGGGTTACCTCTCCTGAGACTCAAGTGGCCCTCAGAGAATAACTGTTATTACCATTCCAGGATGCCAACAGTTTGACTTTGAACAGGAGAAGAAGCAAATGAAAAAGCCATTAAGTAAGCAATGATACACAGCACGGTGTCCTGGCAAAATAAAATCAACGCATGGCGCAGCAGTAAACAGCGCCACAAGATGAGATTTTGTTTCTTCCATGGGTTGCACTGGTTTCTCTGAACACCTGGAAGTGCACTCTGGCGCTTACACCACAGTCACTAGAGGGGAAAGCAGCTGTTCCAATCCTCCTCAAAGTTTGAGAGAGCGTCTGTGCTTGCTGTAACCCCTGTCAGGTAACCGCTGGCGAAGCCTGAAACTTCCGTACTGTTGCTATGGTTACCTGCACTTTAATCATACTTTGAACAATGATTGTGAATGAAAGTTAAACTGTTGATCTACGGTTTGTTTTAGTTCTTCTGGAAGAGGACCGAAGCCAATTGGAAACTTTTTATCTTTTATAAATATGCTTTGAAGACAAATTATATGTATGTCAGACTAACTGAACAAACAAGTTAACAAACATTAATTATTCACATGTAAATGAATGAGAAAAGGAAAACTTCTCTTTACCTGAGGGGAGGATGCTTAAAGACGGCCTCAGCAAAGGCCTGTCCCAGGAGCCGGGGACTGGCCTGACCGCTCTGGCTGACCCTGGCCAGGTGTCTGCTGAGCTGCACCAGGAGCTGGTGGTTGGCCTGAGGGATGCTGGGAGACTCCAAGATCCTCTTCAGCCTCTCCCCACACTCCTCCACAGTGTGACTCTCTACGAAACAAAAACAGCATCAACAGCGTTTTTTTCTTGCTTCATTTCCTTATACATGCAATTCTTTATGGAGCAGCTTTGTGCAGCGGGGGCACTGGCATGCTGAAGTAGGAAATGGCATGGAGTAGACCGAACACTATTAAAATATCATTGCTTGCTGTGGCATTAAGCTTTCCATTCACATGAGCCGAGGAGCCACACTGAGCAGAGAGCAAACCCCCTGCTGTTCTGCCTGGTGAGCACCATCTCCATTCAAATCCAACTGCTTGCTGACTTTGGGAGACATATGGCAGAAGATCAGTAATTTGAATTCAGACCCAGTCCGGTAGCCCGCTGTTAGCCAGATAGCCTGATAGACACTATAGAGAAAGTCACAGTGGCTTCATATACAGATGCCTGTACATGGCAGCGCAGGGGGTTAACGCAGACTCCTGTTCTTATATTAGCCAGGGTTCAAAGAATGGGCCATGTTTGAAGAGGAGCAGACGTACTGACGATCACTGTCACGACAGGCCCCTTACCACCGCAAACAAGCTGCAAACAAGAAACCATCTGTGGCTGAGCCTGCTGTGTGCTGAGGGGGGCCTCAGTGGGAGAGCCCAGACTCACCACCAGGTCCATTTGTCTCTATCTGAATCTGTCTGCACATGGATTTCATTTACTGCTACGGCCTCCTTACTCCACTGTTTTATAAAATCAAGTTTATTTGTGACCGATTGTCTTCCAGTAAAAAGTTAAAGCCAAGTGCCCTCAAACCAAACCTGATTAGGACTCATCTTCAGAAAAAAACAGTTTCTCTCTTTCCAGTCCTGGTTTCACTGAGTGCTGTGCTGTATATGATGCACTTGAGATTCAGTTTTCTGGGGGAAGTGTTTTGTCATATAATGCTGAGTGAACAGAAGTAAATGAAGACAGCGGCTTGTTATTTAGTTATAGGAACAGGTCGACACTTTGGAAAATATGCTTATCGGCTTTGTTGTAGAACAACTGTCTTGTCATCATTGAGGTTGTATGGTAAATTAATGATCATGGCTCTGGCACATCATTGTGTAACACTGTAACGTGTCATTCCTACATTCAGTCACAGCTCAAAAATGGCACTTACCTCAATCTACTGTTTTGTTTTGGTTGTTAAAACATGCCTTGCACTGGTAGAAATGAAAAAAGGGAGGAGTAACTTCACAGTGCAGCCAAACAAACTGTGGGCTGAGATGACTCACTGTGTTGTATGGTTTTAAGAAGAAATACTAAAGAATACAGTCAACAGTGTTACATGATGTGGGTTCGTGCATGCTCATGCTCTGGTCTTCTGCATAACATCCAGTATAATTAAGCATAAATTCTAGTGAATCCCTTGGAGGAGGGTAAACACTGATCTTGGTGCAGACTGTTGGACTACACACTGTAAATACATTTAATGGCTACTGATGAAAAATGACCACCATAAATTACAGGATAATGTCTGTTGCTGACTAGGATCATGGGAAACTTCAAGGAAAGTTCAAGGACACTTACATTTGTGTTTGCGTGTGTGTGTATGTGTGTGTGTAGTGGGCAGGTGGGTTGTGACGCAGGGCTGACAATCTGCTGCAACCTGGTGGAGGTTGTGCAGGTCACCTCCCTCTGTCTGACCACTGCCGGTCATGGTGACCACCACACTCACACTCCGTTCTCCTCTGCTTGTTATTATGGATTGTGGCTGACCTTGCTGGTCAATAGAGGTCAAGGCTGGAGAGGGAACCAGGCCTGTCCACCTGGTCTTGAGAGACTGAGAGAGTGGATAGAATCTGTGGGGGTCAAGGTGACAGCAGGGAAGGAGGTGGTGAAAAGGACTGGGGTTAACTGGAGCCTGACCACAGGACTGTCTGGAGATAATTCACACTTTTATGACTTTTACTCTGACAAGAAATAGTTACAGTTGCTTCTTTTGTTTTTTTGAACCTAAATAATGGTTACTGCTGCTTTACTACACACAGGAGCAGTAACAGTGAGGATGTGGTTTATTTCACACCCATATCACACAACACTCCAGCAGCTGGTTGAGGCCTTGGACTGTTCTCTCTCTGTGTGTGTGTGTGTGTGTGTGTGTGTGTGTGTGTGTGTGTGTGTGTGTGTGTGTGTGTGTGTCTCCTCCATAGTCCAACATGAAAACTGCAAAAAGAAAACACTCTACTTTGTTTTGGATGTTTATGCTTCTACATCTGTGGAGCACACTGTATATAAATCCCATTAGAAATTTAGTTGTATTCTTGTCATTAGGTGTGAATGAGGTGGAATGTATACCTGCCCCATGATTTTTACATTTAGAAATTCAAAATGTCCAGAAACAGAGCAAACTCTTCCACCTGAAATCTAAAAAGGCAGAAGTGTAACTTCAAATCACAGTGTCACATCTACCTCCCAACTGGCATCATCACTTTCAAGGTTTATGATGCTTTCACACAGGACAACATCACAATCCTCATGCATTTCTTTGAAAATGGCAAAGCCCTGAAAACCAAAGGCTGTGCTCAGGATGCTGCAGGAACAGAAGGGCCGCAGCCACCTGATGACAGAAAATGTAGTTAGTTTGAGGGTTTAAATGAAGTTCGACTCCCTGATGATGCACATGACCTTACATTTTTAGACCAGATTTCATGCTGGTAAAATCTGTCATATTTTTTGGGAAAGTTGAACAGAATTGTGTCTGTGATAATATCACTGCCGGGTCAGTACAGTTTACAGGGTTTTTGTAAAAATCCCTCCAAGACATTTAACTCAATTTTAACAGTGTTGAAGGGGGGAGGGGGATTCCCATGATGAGCTACTGACTGGAAAAATGGATGCAGATCAAACTGAGAAGATGACTGGTCCAACAGAGAGGACGAAGGCCAGAGGAATGATATCAAATGAAAATGAAGGAGAGGGGATTTTAACTGTTACAACATCAACAAATTTCAGTGATTAGGCTAAGACAGGATGAACAGTTACTGTTTTCATATGAAGTCAATTTCACTGATTCCCTCCATATGAGTGTAACCACAGAGACAGCCCCTCAGTGCTCAGTACATAGAGCACAGCCTGTAGAAGAATGACAGTAAACAATGCAACTGACAAATGACTTTTTTCCTGATACTTTGTTTACAGGTGGCAACTGAAATATTTGTTTTGCTAACATGAATTCCTACCAACTTGATATCCATAGCAATGAAGTAAGGATCTTAAACTAAGTAAAAGGATGGTAAATGAGTTGAGTTACTGCTGCTCCATCACTATCGGCTCATTCATCTGCTTCTTTACTAGTGACACCCAACCATTTTCATCCAGGTGGATGGTGTGGCCATCGTAACCTCACACTACTTTACTAATGCCCTCATGCCAAGGCATAAAGCACAGAACTAAATGATGTCTTCAGAGGAAACAGCGAGGGGCAGTCTAGACCAGGGGTGCCCAAACCTTTCTGCCAAAATGAAAATGCGATCCAATAAATTTTGTTCCACTTCATGATTGTGTCCCACTTGTTGTTGATTCTTCACAAAAAATTACAGTTTTATATCTTTATGTTTGAAGCCTGAAATGTGGCAAAAGGTCGCAAAGTTCAAGGGGGCCGAATACTTTCGCAAGGCACTGTAGATCAGTCAGAGTGCTTCTGAGCCTGGTTTTGTTAAGGTTCATTACACTGAAAGTCTGTTCACAAATGTAAGTGCTGCCAAACAGAGATAACATCACCTGTGCATGCTGCCTAATGTTTGGGTACCGTTCTGGTGAGACATGTGTGTAAAAGTCCTTCGGTTTCAGTGACATGAATTTATTCCTCAGCTCTGAATCACAGCCCACACTTGTGCTGAAGGGTTGGGAAAACAGCTCCATGTCACCTGAATTCTTCCTGAAAGCACATTTCAAACTCCAACATTATAAAGAAAATACATTTGACATTTATTTGCTTTAGGAATTTACTCACAAAAATATATTTAGGTTGGGTTTTTGAAATATTGAGCTTGTGAATTTCAGGTAACAAAACTTTAAAAAGTTATAAAATTTCAAAGGACAAGATGGAAGGAAGAGACTGCCGGCTGACCTTATAGGGGTCAGCTGGATCTTGCCAGGCCACTTGGAACATGTGTCTGATCTCCTCTGCCAGCCCAATGCGTGCGCCACTGTTGGCTGCGATGTAGATTCGAGGGATGCCGCTCTCTCGTGCCATCTCTGAGGCTCGCAGGAACAACACGTCCTCCTGGGGCCCGAATGAGCCAATCTTATGTGTGATGTCGTTACTTATGACGATAATCTCACGTCCCGCTGGATATTCTGGAGTACGCAGGGTCATCCGCCATGCCACCATGCCAATCTGGAGAGACAGAGCACATGCAATGTAACAAGAAATACTCAGCATGTTTAAACAATTTTCACTCACTAGTAACGTCATACTCCACATATCATTCTGTTCCTCCACATCACATGATCACATTACCATTAAAATGATGTATTTTGTGCAAGACATTAACTCACCTGCTGACAGATGTCGACACAGTAGCTGCAGTTTTCTCTGAAAGGCCTTTATGTGGTCAAACATCTCCGTAATAATTAGCTGAGAGGCTGATCTGGGAGAAAGCTCTTGCCTGAGCGGGACACACTAGCTTTGCAGCCGTGGATAAGCATTCTTTAACAAAGTCCCCTGTAGAAAATGAACGTCCACTCCTGGCAATTAGAGCTGAAATCTCATAGCTGGCCTGTGTTGCGCTTTCCTGGGCTGACGAGGGTCGTGTGAGCGTGTTTTGTTGTGAGCGAAGTTTAGCTAACAACTCTCGGCTCTTTGTCTTCCGTGCCTCGCCTTTGAACCTTGAGAATGCTGCATGCCTCGTTTCATAGTGCCGGCGGATATTGTACTCTTTTAGCACAACGACAGACTGACCGCAAATTAAGCAGACCGCCTTAGCTTTAATACCCGTAACATAATATTCTTCCTCCCAGGTTCGTTTGACATGCCTTTTGTCTGTGGGCCGCTTGCTACTGCTCCGTTGTTGTTGTTGTTGTTGATGTTGATGATGATGATGATGATGATGATGATGATGATGATGATGATGATGTAGTAGTAGTAGTAGTAGTAGTAGTAGTTGTAGTTCTTCTTCTTCTTCTGCTTCTTTTCTTCTTCTTCTTCTTCTTCTTCTTGTTTTATTGGCGGGTTTCGAGCTGAGCTGGGAGCTGCTTGACCTGACAACTGGGGTGGCATAATAAATTGTGGGGGGCCAAGAAATGTCCCCGCGGGCCAAAACAAATGTTCCGCGGGCCCCACTTTGGGCACCCCTGGTCTAGACTCTCAACATTTGCCCCTTGAGCAAAGACTTTATTTTTCAGGGACCTCTCAATACTATTGTACAACTTATCCTTACGATACAACTAAATTGTTTCAGATCTCACAATCCACCTCACATTATCTCCGAATTCAAAGGGACCCCTTTCTAAATAAGATATCCAATTTCAACAGGCTTACCCTTGGACAACCTCTGCAAAATAAGTGATGCATCTCTTCAAAGTGGTTTGGCCTGACGTAAAATGTTTCCATGAATAAGTAAAATAAAAAAGGGCTGCCACTTAGTGGAAGGAGGACCGAGAGAGAAAAGCATTTACATAACTGAGGGGGCTTTCAGCTGCAGGTCATGCTGAGAAGCGTAGCCAAGTAATATTATGGGGAAGAATTGAAGGGAAGCTGGTGTGAACTTCCTGCAAGCTCAGACCTGAGAAACTCAAATTAGCATGTGCATCACCAACACACTCATCTGTCCATGTGTCTGATTTTGACTCATATACCACCCACACAAAGCACAAAACGACAAATGTCGAGGGAGGGTTCATTAAAAATACATAGGGGCGTGAGAACCCCCTAAAAGCCAGAGAGGGGAGGGCTTGCTGGGCGAGGTAGGCGGCAGGTGAAAGGGTGAACAGGCAGCCCAGCTGAACAGAAAATGAGAAAAGAGCCACACTTCAGCTCAGACAATGTTTCTATTGAATCCTGTCGAGAGAGAAGCAGAAGTCTGTTGTCAATGAAAGGCTGCAGCTTCGTCATCTTTACATCTATATTTGGCAAAAATCTGTCAAATGTCAGGTGTGACAAGTGTCAGCACTCGTACGGAGTGACAGAGGCATAAAAACACCATTAGCTCAGATTTAACTCTGGAGTTTACCAGGCCTGAGCTCACAACCATCAGCAGCCATGGAAATGCTGCCAATACTGCAGCTGTGGCTAGAGCAGACCGTCCCTTAACTGTACAGTTGTCATTTCAGTCCACATGTCAGTGTTCCTGGGCAAGACACTGAACCACAATTTGCCAGTGGCCATTTGGTGTGAATGGGCAAGTATTGTAAAGTGCTTGAGTGTGTAGAAAAGCACTAAATATCTACACTTTCATTTAACTACAGGAAAACTTCAAATCAGTTTTATGTGGCTCAGAGTTGTGTTGGCAGTTTTGCCTCCCAGAAGCGTAACCTTGGCCTCATCTAATTTTATTCTTACAAGTTAAACAATATCATTTTTACATGCTGTGAGAACCACAAACCAAAGTCCCTTCATTGTACCAATCTGGTGGCAGGAATTTGTAAAATCAATATTTGAGAACCTCAACAAAGAAAACACAAATCGAACCTTCATGCCTGGATGTCACTAGAGGCACAGTACGTGCAAAAATATATTACTTTGTGATCTGAGTGAAGTGACCCTTTGTGAATGTTCAGGGTTAACATGAGTGTGTGTGTGCCGTGCTGTACCTTGAGCAGTGTAGACCAGCTCGCTGTAGACTGTGGTGGGGATGATGGGGACGGGCAGGTCCTGCAGGAACCCTCTGAGAGCATCAGTCAGGGAAGCCAGATCGTACTGATCCAGATCCACTGAGAGCAGATCTGAGAGGACAAGAAACAGGTGCTCAGCATTAACATATTTTATAACTTATATAAATTAACAACATTATATTATGATGTCATGTGGTCAGAATTAAAATCCTTCAAAACATATCTGCTGTTGCATATTGATGTGTTTTGTAAATCTCGGGTCTAAGCATAGAGGCGTTACCAACCTAAGGTACAAACACAGGGGCCCAAATAATAAGAAGGCAGTAAGGCTGAGGTGAAATGTGACTGAAAATTCTCACTGGAAAGAAAAAGGTCAAATTTACAAATAATGCTGAAGGAAGTGCCATCACAAACCAACCGTCAAGACAAAGCAAGTGTGTGTGTCGTCAGGCTTTATGTAGGTTGTTTGTATGGGCTCTCAGACACTAGGGAGACTTGGCATCTGTTGTGCCCGGAAGCGCATTGTTATAATCAGTCCACTGGCCTGAAGAACGTAGAATCCATCAGTCTAACACACCATTAACATCTCAACAGCTGCTTGCTAGAGCAAGTAAAATTTTCAAGTTCATTCATTAAGCCAGACTGTGTTAATATTAGCCAGGTGTGTGTGAGTGGTTGGAGGGATGCCTCGCATGACTAGCTCAAGCCTACAAACACTAGAACAGCCACACTTAAAGTCCATTTCCCCAGTGGGAAAGCGCACACACACACCTCCTAACTGGATCTGAAGACTTAAGACTTCACATATCACACACAATAGAGTTTATCTGCAGGCTGTCACCACTGACCGACTCAGACTGGAAGAGATGGTTCGGTTTGGTCCGATCAGTCATCGCATCCAAATCACATCCATAACCAGTACGACATTCTTTATGTGGGTGTCAGGTAGTAGTAACTGACATCCTGTTGGTGCCAACGGAGCCGTCTGACCTGCTAAAAACCTGTGTGGGGGGGGATATTCCTTAATGAAACTATAAAATGCTCGAGTTTGGAGGAGTGCAGTAGCTGGCAGTATCTTAGATTTTTCACAGGTTTCTGGGGGGTCCATAGGTCAGAATCACCAGATTTTCTCTGGAAACAAAGAAGTGTTACAATGAGAACCTAAATATAGGACCAAAATCATCTGAAGTCAATGTGCACACATTATACAAACTGTTAGGTAGCAAGCACTGTAAGCTGAACTGCAATTCAATTCAGTTTTATTTGTACGTACGGCACCAACTCACAACAACAATCATTTCAGGACACTTTACAAAGTCAGGTCTAGACCTTACTATTATTATTATCATTATTATTATTACAGAGGATAAAACCCAACAAATCCCCCTGAGCAGCACTTGGCGACAGCAGGGAGGAAAAACTCCCTTTAATAGAAGAAACCTTGGACAGACCCCGGCTCTGGGGTGAGTGGATAGAGGAGAGAGAAGAGAAAAGAAAAGCAACAAGGTTGTTATGATGCCATGAAATACCGTACTTTCTGGACTATAAGCCGCTACTTTTGTTGCTTCATGCACACACCCTCATCATGGACAACACACGACGAAATGCACATGAAGCCGCTTCTACCACTGTTTTACCAAGACCGCCTGACAAAGGAAGACTACACTACTAATAACCACAATGAGGAAACTATATTATCATCAACACCAATAATAATTAATGACAGAAAAACAATATTATATCAACCTATCTATAAACTTTATCAAAAAGGAACGTCTTAAGTCTAATCTTAAAGGTAGAGAGGGTGTCCGCCTCCCGAACTGAGACTGGGAGTTGGTTCCATAGGAGAGGAGCTTGATAGCTAAAGGCTCTGCCTCCCATTCTATTTTTGTGGACTCTAGGAACCACAAGTAAACCTGCACTCTGAGAGCAAAGTGCTCTGTTAGGATGATAAGGCTCTACGAGGTCTTTAAGATATGATGGAGCCTTGTCATTAAGGGCTTTGTATGTTAGGAGAAGGATTTTAAATTCTATTCTGAATTTTACAGGGAGCCAGTGGAGAGAAGCTAATATGGGAGAGATATGATCTCTCTTGCTAGTTCCTGTCAGTACTCTGGCTGCAGCATTTTGGATTAACTGGAGACTTTTTAGGGAACTATTGGGACATCCTGATAGTAAAGAGTTACAGTAGTCCAGCCTGGAAGTAACAGATGCATGGACCAGATTTTGAGGCAGGATGCTCCTGGTATTGCGCAGGTGAAAGAAGGCAGTTCTAGAGCCTTGGTTTTGTATGAGTTAAAGGACATATCCTGGTCAAAAATGACTCAAAGAGCTACATCATCTAGATTAACTCTATGGTTAGACAGCAGATTTCTAAGGTTTTCAGGCCCACATACAATAGTTTTGGTTTTGTCAGCATTTAAATGTAGAAAATTACAGGTCATGTACAAACTCTACATGAGAAAAATAACCATGGGAATGGATCAGTATAGATGTGACTGGCCAGAGTGTCTCAAGTCTCATGGTCAGTTTTTCCTGGGAAAAGTGGAATACTGTCCCTCAGCCACAGATAAAAAGATGCTGAGTTGTCCAGCCCACATAGACAGTTTACCAGTTTATCCACTGGTAGACAAAACAGCAGATAACAGCAAAGGACAAACCACACGGCACCAGAGGACAGCAAAACTGTCCTCTATCTTCCACCTCAGCCTTCCTCCTCTACTCTACCTCCACTTGTCCTTCCACATTTGTGCTCTTAACCTTCCTCCCCTATCTTTCTCCTGTTAGCCTTTTATCTTCCTACACCAAATCCTGCTCTTTTTGCTTTCTTTTCTGTTTGTTCCTTCACTTCTTTTTCATCCATTGTTCATCTTCCCCTCCCCCACCTCCTGCCTTCTCTGCACCATATACCCACCAGGCCCTGGCTGCTAAATCCTATTGAATTGCATAAACTTAGCCAATTACCACAGGCCAGTAAACCACAGACCATCAATATCAGTGAATGATTTCTTCATGGCACTGAGGCCTGTCTTATAGTGCGGTGATTTGTCTGGGGGATTGGATCATCCTAACACCCAGACTGGGCAAGCTGTGTTGCCATGGGACCCAGGCTCAAGAAAAGATATTAATACCTGTTCTTGTGTGGTTTGGGGTTTGGGGGGTGGGGGGGGGGGGGTATAGCTGCCTGAAACAATAGGATTCCTGAAGAGTAGACTGTAATTTCTTAATTTGAGAGTTTTGTTTTTTATTAGCTTTGGATTTGTGCTGGTGGTGATAACAACAGTGTTAGATTAGTTCACACCTTTGGTACAAATAATTGTGCAGTACTGGCTAATTATGATGCCTGCTACACTTGGTGCAGCCCATGGTGCTTTTCCTTGTTTTCTGACTTATCTACAATATTACAACTGTGAATTATCATCTTAGACGTGACCCAAAGCTCTAAAAATGATGTGAACATATGTTCTAGTATTTCTATGGAGAAGAAACTCGGTTTATACACGTCTCGCAAACTCTCACTCTCAACTCTCACAAGACTGTTTTTTTCTAAGAACATAAAGTATTAGGTGGTAGTTTATGATGGTCATAATCTCCAGGCAGTTGCACGTTGATGTGAGCTTGCCTGACATCCGCCTGTGCCCTCACCATACTGGCAAAATGTTATATTGCTTTGTTTATTATGTGTATTTTCAAAAAGCTTATTTAAAAAAAAAAAAAAAAAAAGACATCCACCAGCGTCATTGTAAAAGCAGAATTTTTCATCTGAACCTGGTTTTGTGGATATATTTTCCTGCTGCTGCATTGTGACCAGAGGATGTGGAGAAGAATATAGGGCCTGAGGTTACTGCATGTCCAGGAATGTTCCTGTAAGGGACTGTACAAGAAGTCGCAGCGACCACCGGTTGGATTTAGCAACCTTGGAGCTTCTTTAAAGGGAGAGATGTTTTCACTACTCAGTGGGACTTAACACTAAGTTTAAAAAACACGTTTCGGTGATGTTATAAAGAATTGTTGTAAGGCTGGAGAAGTTACTATGTCTGCATGATGCCAGTTAAAATATGGGATTTCTCAATTACCTGCTTTGCTTGTTACACATCTCTTTCCATTGGTACATATGCTGTTTATATAAATGGTACCACATGTGATTCAAGTCCAAAGTTTATTCTTGACCTTGGAAACATCTGTCGATAAACAAAAGTTGCTTCCAAGTCAAGATCAACCTTGACCCTCAGTTTTCAAGGCAACGTATACAATTTCATGACAACTCGGCGAACTCCATCTGTTACCTGAAGTCCAGGTTACATGACTGAAAGCACCATAACATCTCCTGCAATAAATGGACCTTGTGGTGAAACAGTTTTCTGAAATAGTTTGTATTATTTATGTGGTAAAAAAGAACATGTTATTTGCTAGATCAAACATATAATGAAAACATCATCCGCATTTTTTTCCAGTTGAACAACCCATTTCTTAAACCAGAAACCAGACCGATACAGCTCTTCAGTCTAACAGCTCCGCCTGGCTGTTAGACTGAAGGCGTTCTGTGGAACTACTTTTCAGTATGTCAGATTCTGTGTGTATTAATAAAGACAATGTACTGACTGGTCATGAGTTAGTTACAGCTTCAAACAGTGAATGGAAAGAGGCAGCAACGGCAAAAACAGCTTGTTTAGCCTGGTTTTGCTGAGACATGACTGTGTCTTTCCCACGCTAGCAGCAAAATGCCACACCTGTTCTGCAGAGATGCACATGATTTCTTTGAAGTCACTGGATTCTTTATTTAGTGCTGGGAAGAATGAGATGGAAACAATCTGGCCGCAAATTAAAAAAACAAGAATTTACTATAGAGGCCTCTCACAGAATGTTAAGAAATCCAAGATGGAAAATGACCAGACACCAACTCAACATCAGCAGCTAGCGCACTGCCTTGTTTACAGCTGACTGTACTGTCAGATTGCCAGCTACAGCTGCTTGTCAAGTCAGCCTGCAGTTAGAGACCACATCATCGAGCTGGCAGTTTATTATTTACAGCAAGCTAAACTGATCTAATCCAGCGGTTGTACAGTAACTCCAGTCTCCAAATGGTCACACAGGTGAACCAGCACTTCTGA